ATATTTTCAGTAAAGCACGATGGTAATCTGAATTAAGTATTGATACTGTAATTGAAAAAAATTAAAAAGGGCTTTTTATTTACTATTAAGAAAAATCTATGATCAAGAAGAACACATGAAGTTATGACGACGCTATCGTTCGCGATGGCGTCGAAAAATTATATTATGGAATTATTTTACCAGCTGTATAGTTCCCGAAGCGATAATATCAGTATTGTGACAAACCGTGAATCTTTCGCCGATAATTATTTCAACTGTGATAAATCCAAGAAAAAAATCGGTACCAGGTACCTTAATTTGGATATCTGCTTGCTTAAAGTTTACTTTTAAACGATCCCCAAATTGGAGAAAGTAATTTTCGGGTTTATTTTCTTTGATGCCTATCGTAAATTTTCCAGCAGCCATGATTGCAGTTTCATTCTTTTGAACGAATATAACATCGCTGCCAAGTTGGGCCTTTAAATCGACAAATGAATCGGGAGCTGCGTTGAGACATAACGCTAGTAGAGAAAAGGCTACAAAAGTAGCGAAAAGTGTACGTTTTAACATTAAATTTTTTTTTTTTTTTTGTAAGTCGCGAATAGTTATTTGTGATTTCGAGGAAGCAAAATGTCTGCTCTTTTATACTTAGAATTATTAACCCGGTCTTTATACGTTTTCATATTCGACGAACATCAATTAGTTCTATTAATTATTAATTAAATTATTAATAATAACATTAATTATTAATCAATTGTTTTTGTTGATTTTGAGCAAAATAAAATTTTTAATTTATTTTATGAAGCATATCCTTATTGATAGATTATTTTTTTTCAATTATAATAAACATTAATAAATTTTTACAAATATAATAAAAAAAAAATTTTTTTTAATTTTGAATAATTTTTTTTTGTTTTAGTTCATAACTACTGTATATCATTATGACTTGTTTTTATTGAATAGTAATCAAATGTTATAATAGCCTTTTTATATAAGAATTGACTTATCTTAAATATTATGAAGAATTAAATCAGTTAAAAATATAAGAAAGTTTATTAAACTAGTTTGTATTAAAGTATTTCAAGGATCTATGGATCTATAGTGCAGTGGTTAGCACTCTGTAGGTCATATCACAAGGTCACTAGATCAAATCCTCCAGGGGGCAACTCCTGATGCTGGTAGATCTACCCCATTGGCATAACTGTAAACTAACCGATGCTTCTGAATATAGCTCTGATCACTGGTCAAATGGAATTTCTGATGTGATTACAGGATGGTCTATATAAAGATTGTGATACAGTTGAATGTCTGAAATTGGGTAGGATTATCTTGACACAATCATATTACCAGAAAAGAACTGGTAATAAGAAGAGTAAATATTGAACCGATAGTATACCACTGAAAGAAGGAATAGTAAAATCAACTGAAGAAAATCTCGGTTTCTTGCCTTGGTGTTGAGACATCTGTTCAAGAATTCAAGTATGTGGCTGTGCCGGGTTTCACAGACTTGACTATTGGGAGGCCTTGGTGGAAGAAGAAATCCACGGACCACTTCGAAGGACTAAGAAATCTGAAAAATCCAGGATAAAGAAAATTCGATAGCCTGATAACCAGACTACTCTTAATATAAATAAAATTGTTCTAGGAAAAATTAAGATAGAATCGCACATCTTTCCAAATAGATAGTAGTTATATATAGAAGTAGAATAGATATAACTACTTATATAGATAGGTTTACTTCAAAAATGTATAATTACTTGTTGACAAATATGTAATAAGGAGTTTGTACAAATCCCTCAATTGTGATTCCGGGGAAAGGCCCGATGTATCCGCGAAATCTGTACAGCATATATATTAATAAAAGATGTGGCCCTTATAGACAATGGCTTCATGGATACATATCACACTCACAACCCTTCAAAAAGAGAATACATTTGGAAAGGTCAAGGTAATCACAGTAGACTTGATCAAATCTGGATAAATCCCAAAGCAACATGGCACACATACAAAGCCAACATTATAGATATGCTCGACCCTCTAATCACTAGTGATCACAGACCAATGTTCACAGAACTTGAGGTATGGGAGTTAGACATACTCAAAATCACATCTATTCATAGACCAAACATCAGGTACAACTGGTCCTACACCAATGACAAACAATGGGAGAAATTTTTCCAAACAGTGGAATTAGCAATGAGTAATATACCCTCAGCCCCCACATCGATTGATCAAAGATGGAATCTCTTCAGCTCTCAACTCTTGCACGTAGCGAAAAAACACATATCCAAAAAACATCAACATCGGAAAAAACGTCTCCAGAAAGCAGACAAAGAATCAGATGCCCCCTTACTTCATCTACAATCATTTTTGACAACTCTAAAGCAAATCCACAACACAAATCAAGAAGACAATACTGAAGTGGAATGCGTCATATCAATGTTCATTCAAAAACACTTTCCTGACATCATCACAGAATTATATCAAGCCAAAAAAGTATCAAAGAATCTCTACCATACAAAGTGGATACAGATTATCCGATCATACATTAAAGCTCACAAAACTGTAGGCAAATTTAACACAAAACGCAAAGAAGCTAAAGCCATAGCTCAAAGAATAGCAAGCTGACAGACTTTCCTAAAAAGTAACAAAAAAGCTATGATTAACAGTATCCTAGACAGATCAATATGACACATCCATCTCGATAAAATCATACAGCAAAAAGAGGATATACAAATTATCACAGAACCTAACGAAATTAAAGAAACAATCAGACAACATTTTTTCAACTGGACATCACCTAGAAACATAGTATCATTAGCAAACCATCCACACTGGCAACAAGAATACAAAACTAAATCATACATCAAGAGTAGCTGGTATGCAGATGTTCTCATAGAGATTACAACTGAGGAACTAACAATAACAATTAACAACCGAAGTAACAAATCAGCACCAGGAAGAAATCAAATTCCATATAGTACCTACAAACATCTCAAGAAAAACATTATAGAAGAACTGAGAGAAATCTTCAATGACATCCTGCAACAAGGCACAACCCCCAAAGAATGGAGCAAAGGAACCATATATCCAATACTCAAACCCAAAGATTGGGAAAACAATCTCGATATAACAAGACCAATCACCCTTCTAGATGCTGGAAGAAAAATTTTCACCAAGATCATAACAGACTGCCTTGCCAAAGTCTTCAAAAATCACCCAATACTATCGAACCTAAACTGGGCAGCATTACCAGGAAACAGTACACAAGATCCTATACACATCTTGAGTAGTATCATAGAACATGCCAAAGAAACAAATCAAGAAGCATGGATTCTCAGTCAGGATATGTCCAAAGCCTATGACTCAGTAAATATCACAATGCTAAAAAAGACACTCCAGCGGATAAAAATCCCAGAACAAATAATACAAATCCTTGACAACATCTTCAAAGATAGGCAAAATATAGTCTTAACATGCCACAGCCCCACCAATCCATACGCAGTCAGGGATGGCATAGATCAAGATAACACCATATCTCCACTATTATGGCGTATTTTCTATGACCCCCTTCTTATAAGAATTAGTAATGAACATACAGGATACTCACTTGTAGTCAAGACCTGTAAATACCTAGATCAAGGATGGTTTTCAAGATTCATAAATATTGCAGCCAGCGTATACATGGATGACACTACATGGATTGCAACCAACAAAGCTAAACTCCAAAGAATAATAAACACTGCTGAACAATTCTTCTATATCAATGACATCAAAGTAAATCCACAAAAATCCTAGCTCCTAATAGTCAATGGCAAAGAAAATGACTACACACAAGGAGTATGAATGAATGACCAAAGAATTACAGGCTGTAGAAAAGGTACCCCAGTCAGAATTCTTGGAGTATGGTATGATAGCTCTGGGTAAAAAGACTACCAAAAAGCCTTGATCAAACAAAAAATACAAAAAACACGAACACTTCTAGGAATAAAGAGAATCACTAACAAGCAGATGCAATATATAATCAATCATATCCTCATGCCTAGCCTAGAATATCTGTGCAATGACATTGTTCTCACCAGAGATACTTGCAACAAAATGATGAGCAAGTTAGCAACCACCTTCAAACATAAACTAGGCCTCACAAACATGATCTCCAATAGCATGCTATATAACAAATTTGAGTACAATCTAATGCACTTATGGGACAGACAACTTCTACTCCACGCCATGAACTGGACTTCACGAATCAACCAAAATAATATTACAGGAGAAATTGCTAGAGAAAGATTACAATCGCTACAAAACATGTTCTGGTCCACAAAAATGATAACAAGTCATTTACATGTCCCCCTGCTACCACAAGGAAGAAACCTCACCCATGATATCATATGACTAACTAAGAACACACAGATTCTCCTTTAAAAATACACTAAATGGAAGATACGTTACAATCACCGAAATAGACATTCCCATTAAAGAAGTCACAAGTGAAAGTTTCTATAACCAACACAGGAAAAACATAAAGAAGCACAACATTCTTTTCATCGGTCAAAAGCTAAACAGTAGGAGGGAAAAAATATTGCATTGGTGCCAAGTAATCAGACTCAACCGTCAAACAATACAAGGGCATACCCCAGCTTGATACCACACACTCAAAAACAGAATACAAGAATGGATTATGAACAACCAGTCGCAACAATCTCTAATCAATCCATTTCTACAATGCAGTCAATCTACAAATCGAAACACAGCTCATCCACATTAGATCAGTATAGAACTAAACAATCAGACAATTCTGGGAAGAAAACAGAAAAGACTAAATGACCACTTAACAAAATACAGACACTACAATAGAATCAAAAACCAATTACCTCTAATTGAATGCATGGGTTGCAACATCAACGATCATAGTCAAAACAATTATCCATGCACTTTCTCAGTCAGCCACCAAAGCTCAATTAACATTCCGGTTCATTTCAACAAAGTTACCACCAGTGATATACCCAACATAGAGGGTAGCACATTTAGGTGTAGAGTATCCCTAGATTCTATTCACATCACACTTAATGCACTATGCACCCCAGCACAACCACCACCCCCGATCAGGTAGAAATTAGTATCTCAGCAACACAAAACCTAGACAATCTCCTCAGAAAACTCTTCAATGCAGAGGATTATATACTTGAGGAACTATCTAATCTAGCCTCCAAGATACAAGATCATATGATCTTTGATATATATATACCGATGGATCTCTCAAAGAACTCAACCACAAATGGCTCATAGGTATAGGTATAAAAATCATCACAAGTGAAGGAAAAGAGTTTACCTTCCAAGGATAAACAACACAACACCCATCATCTACCAGAGCAGAGATTATGGCAATACTCATCACTCTCAGTATCCTATCAAACTTTAGCCATGTCAACATATTCACAGACAGCAATGCCGCCATAAACAGTATCAACAATATTGCACAGTTAACACCAAACAAAGCACTGAAGAAACAAAAGAATTTCAATCTACTACAACAAATTCAAGATATACTAAAGAAAAAAAGCATCAAA